CCCGCCGCGCGCACCCCCGCAGCGCCCCCACTGCCCCCACCTCGCGCACCACCACTGCCCCCACCGCGTCCCACTGCACGCACTCTGGCAGCGCCCCCACCGCGCCGCCGGCGGGCCGCCGCACCTGTAGTAGCGGTCATCCTTGAAGGGCGTGAGGTCCTCGCGCAGCTCGCGATACGCCTCCTGCAGCCGCCGGCACAGGTGCTTGAGCTCGCCGCAAACCCGGGGCTCGAAGGCCGGGTCCTCGGCGTCCATGCCGCGCCGCCCTCGGAGCCCGGCCTGCTCCCTCCTCCCGCCGGCGCTCCTTTGTATCTCCGCGTCGCCCCCACTCTGCCCGGCGCCCGGGATTGGGGGCCGCCGGCGCGCGGGGCGGGCCGAGGAGAGGGAGGAACGGGGTGGGGAGGCCGGAGGCGGGGAGCTGGGGGCACCGCCCCGGGGGGCTAGGCAGGGGGTCCCGGCCCTGCGCCCCGCCCAGGGACAACCACGCCCACCAGCCACCGCCCAGGAGAGGCAGGGGAGGAAGTCTAGCGCAAGGTCGTCTTCCGCCCAGAACAAAATAGAAATGCTGCCCTCGCCAGTTCCCACGCTGAGAAGGAGAAGGAAATGGAGGTGACAGCAGAAAGGAAAATGGGGCTGGGAGAGCGGCTGAGAGCCCTTTCTTGCTAGAAGGGCCAACGCTGGACCGCGATCGTGTTCAGCACCACGGACAGCTTCCGTAGATGCATTCAGGCTGCTTTGGCTTCCACTTGGCCTAATGCAAAACCATTTTAACGAAGCCTGTTACAGGTAGGTCATAATTAATATTATTTTTAACGACAAAAGAGTGTCCAAATGTCTCCCCCACAGAATGAGGAAGTGCGTTCTATAGCCACTAAAAAAAAGTCTGACCAAGAGTTTCTCACACTCTACAAAGCTCAACACTACTGTGTAAAATGAAAACTCACACGTTAACACGTCTCCCACGGGATTACTTATCCAAAGAGCGGTGTGATCTCCTCTTGTGAATTTTTCCAATAAAAGTAGAGAAACAGATGGTCTTGGTGCATTCCCACCTGTCTCCGGGATAGCCTTCCGTGCTAGGTCGCTCTTGCATGCATTGGGGGGACCTTTAATAAATCTGGAAACCTTGGTGGTATAGTGACTAAGTGCTACGGCTACTAACCGAAAGGTTGGCAGTTCGAGTCCACCAGCCGCTCCTTGGAAACTCTATGGGGAAGTTCTACTATGTCCTATAGGGTCACTATGAGTCGGAATCAACTTGATGGCAATGGGTTTGGTTTGGTTTTTTTGGTTTACAAATCCAGATTTTGGGAGGCCAGGCTACACAATTGAATATAAATTATGAAATATGGGTGCCATGAATCTGTATTTTCCACTGCTCCCCAGGTGTGTCTGAGGATCACTCAAGGTTAGAGACATTCAGAAATCCATGTTTGCAGCTAACTTCACCTGGGTCACTATGAGTCAAAACCGAGATGAGGGCACCTAACAACAACAACACAGACTTGCCTGTGCTTACTGGTTTATTTGTTGATTAGGTTTTAAAGGGCATTGTTCCTTCTGAGAACATAAGGGACTTTGCAAGGAATCATCAAATAAAAAAAAAATACTCTCCAGATCATTTTCATCTTGAGAGGGATAAAATAAAGAAGGCCACAAGAAAACCTAGATGGGAGGTGAGATGGGAAGGGTAATGAACATGGCTGGTAAAATGTATTAATGCTGAGTCACAAACAGTCAAACACACAATTCTTTCTCTGCTCTTCCTAAGAAATCACACAATAAGTCTCTTATGTTCTTGGCTCTTAACTGTGATACTTCCTAGATGCATTATTAATGGTTTTATTACCCATTTTTGAGCACGACGCTGTGCTAAGTACTTGACAGCATTTTCTTACTATTCTCGGTAATTTTATGAGGAAGGTACTATTATCTCCATTTTACAGATGAGGTTATTGGAGGTTAGAGGGATCAAGTGTCTGCTTCTGATGCCAGTAACAGCAGCAGATTTGAACCTAGATGTATCTGACTTCAGAGAACACCCATGTTATGGATTGAGTTGTGTCCCCCCAAAATATGTGTTGTAAATCCTAATCCCTATACCTGTGGTTATAATCCTATTTGGGAATGGGTTTTCTTTATTATGTTAATGAGACAGTATTAGTGTAGGGTATATTTTAAGTCAATCTCTTCTGAGATATAGAAGAGATTAAACAAGCACGTGAGCGGCAGAAATGGGGGAAGAGATGCGCCAAGCCACGTGACAATTGCTCAGGAGCAGAAGCTCAAAAGAGACAAGGGCCTTCCCCTAGCGCTCACAGAGACAGACAGACTTCCCCTAAAGCCGGTGCCCTGAATTCGGACTTCCAGATTCCTAACAGTGAGAAAATAAATTTCTGTTGTTAAAGTCACCCACATGTGATATTTCTGTTCTAGCAACACTAGATAGCTGAGATGACCCAATACACTGTGCAACCTCTACTGAGGAGCCCACTGAAGACCAATTGTATTTGCAGATCGAGGCATTGTAGCCCATTAAGAAATCGCTCCATTTCCCTAATTTCAGGTATCATCACAGAACTCACTGAAGATACACCCTATATTTAAGTACACGTGAGGCTAAAACTTCTAGAGTTTTGTTACGGTTGTAAGAGGTAGTAATAATCATGTATGTATACTCATTTCTTCAGGTAAGAATGAAGAGTAAGACTCTTATCCTCCTGCCTGCCAGTAGCATACCAGTGCCTCCCAGTAACCAAGCCTGACAGGAAGCCAGAGGTGAAGGCAGCCAGGCAGTCCCCAGATGTCAGCCTCCCGGGGCCCAGAACTGGACAGAGCTGGCCAAACCATGGATCTGGGGAGGGGAACAGAGAGAGAATGACCAGCACACCTGGCTCACAGGATTTTTTTCCTCTGCTGTCAAAGAAGCCGTGAAGTTCACTGCTTGATGGTAGACAGCAAATATGACTTAAGAAAATCTGCCCCCCTTCCCCTGCCAAGCCCCAGGAGTAGTTTCAAGGAGAAGAGATAGAAGGCATATGAAGCAGGCAGATGAAAGGGTCCTAGTTTTCCCTCTCTAAGGAGGATGCTAGCTAAGCCAGAGCAGCAGTGAGCACGCAGGGAGAGCTACTGACCTTCCATGGATTGGAAGACAAGGCTGACAAGTCATGAAGCAGAACACTGGAAGGTGAACATCGTGAAGACCGAGGAAACAGAAGCCCCATAGGACTGAGTGGCTGGTACACAATAACGCAATTCATGGCGGATCAGAGATTAACTCAGCGCTCGAGCCCTGGTGCAGTCATTAATATATTATTTACACCCCATATTTTTCTAAAATGGATTCAAAGCAGGTCTAGTCTCTCAAGTCTTCATAGTCTCTTTTTCACCATCACCAGACACTTCTACAAATATAGCACAAAGCCACAATTTTCCCAAAAGTTTCTTTCATACAGTGATTATCTGTGATTTCGCTTTCCGTGGTTTCAGTTACCCATGGTCGACCTCCGTCCGAAGTGCCTGTGTTCAAGTAACCCTTATTTTACTTAATAATAGCCCCAAAGTGCAAGAGTAGTGATACTGGCAATTCAGATACGCCAAAGAGAAGCCATAAAGTGCTTCTATTTTATTATTATTGTTGTTAATCTCTTACTGTGCCTAATTTATAAATTAAACTTTATCATAGATATGTATGCATAGGAAAAGAACATAGTATATGTACGGTTCAGCACTATCCGTGGTTTCAGGCATCCACTGGGGGTCCCGGAACATATCCCCCTCAGATAATGGGGGACTAGTGTATTTAACATAATTTCAGGCATAAGCAATGTAAAATGGCACCATGTGTCTTTTAATGAAATTCAGTGGTACTTTATAATGCATTAGCCATGTCAGGGAAATTGTATATAGTCATGCCTTGTAGCAGGAATCAGTGGTGGACAAGGAGATGGTAAAGGAGTGGCTGTCACCAGCTCCACCCTCAGGGAGCTGGGGGTGGGGGGAGTGTTGCTTTGGGGCAGGAAAGTGGTCCTGAGACAATCTTTCACTCACTGAAAGCATACAAAGCAGACAGAGAATAATCTTCATCTAGCTATTCAATCTGTAAATTGAGCAAATAATCCGAGAAGCTGGACTATATAAAGAAGAATGGGGTATCAAGATTGGAGGAAGACTCATTAACAACCTGCGATATGCAGATGACGCAACCTTGCTTGCTGAAAGTGAAGAGGACTTGAAGCACTTACTGATGAAGGTCAAAGACTACAGCCTTCAGTATGGATTACATCTCAACATAAAGAAAATAAAAATCCTCACATCTGGACCAACGACCAACATCATGATAAATGGAAAAAAGATTGAAGTTGTCAAGAGTTTCATTTTACTTGGATCCACAATCAACACCCATGGAAGTAGCAGTCAAGAAATCAAACGACAAATTGTATTGGGCAAATCTGCTGCAAAAGACCTCTTTAAAGTGTTGAAAAGCAAAGATGTCACCTTGAACACTAAGGTGCGCCTGACCCAAGCCATGGTGTTTTCAATCGCCTCATATGCATGCAGATGCTGGGCAATGAATAAGGAAGACCAAAGAAGAATTGACACCTTTGAGTTATGGTGTTGGCGAGGAATATTGAATATACCATAGAATGCCAAAAACAAACAAATTTGTCCTGGAACAAGTACAGCCAGAATGCTCCTTAGAAGCAAGGATGGTGAGACTTCATCTCATGCACTTTGGACATGCTCTCAGGAGGGACCAGTCCCAGGACAAGTAGAAGGTCATCGAAAAAGAGGAAGACCTTCAATGAGATGGATTGACACAGTGGCTGCAACAACGGACTCAAACATAGCAATTGTGAGGATGGTGCACAACTGGGCAGTGTTTTGTTCTCTTGTACATAGGGTCTCTATGAGTTGGAACCAACTCAATGGCACCTAACAACAACAAAGCTATACCTTGAATGGTCGTTTGTAAGCAGCAATTTTGCAAGATCTAGAAGCGATAAAAATGTCCTTCCAACTAAGTTTCATTTAAGTGTGAACTAGTCCATCTGTCCTCAGATAGCCAAGGCTCAGAGGGACTTGATTCATCGACACCACCAGCTAGGACGTTGGTCAGCAGGACCAGAATGCTCTGATTTCACCAATTTTGTCAAGCAAGGCTCTGTGCTCAGGACTGAGTCATGTAAAACACAGCGCTGGCCTGCAGATTCATGGTTTACTCATCATTTCTCATCAGCATCACCAAGCCTCTAATGCCACGTCTCTCGTGAAATGCTAAGGCACTCATCAGAAGCCACAGGCAGCAGCATCCCTAACATTTGGCAATGGATGTATATTGACTTTTTAACTGAATATTGGAGCAGAAGCAGAGCACTGCAATTTCACTTTAGCATTAATAAACGTTAAGTACCCATTACATCCCAGACAATATTACCAGAAACCAGAACCAGAGTCCCTGGCTGCCGCAAACAGCGAACACACTCTGCTCCTAACCGAAAGGTTGGAGGTTCACCACCCAATGGTATCTCAGAAGAAAGGTCTGGCAATCTACTTCCAAAAAATCAATCATTGAAAACCCTGTGGATCACAGTTCTATGCTGACACACATGGGGTCATCATGAGTCAGAATCTACTCAGTGGCAACTGGTCCTGGTTCTGGTTCCCCATTATGTCCCAGACAATACTGTTGTTGTTGTTGTTAGGTGCCATCAAGTCGGTTCTGACCCTACGTACAACAGAACTAAACATTGCCGGGTCCTGCGCCTTCCTCACAATCGTTATGCTTGAGTCCATTGTTGCAGCCACTGTGTCAGTCCGTCTAGTTAAGGGTCTTCCTCTTTTTCGCTGACCCTCTACTTTACCAGGCATGATGTCCTTCTCCAGGAACTGGTCGCTCCAGATAACATGTCCAAAGTATATTAGACCAAGTCTCACCATCCTTGCTTCCAAGGAGTACCCTGGCTGTACTTCTTCCAAGACAGATTTGTTCGTTCTTCTGGCAGTCCGTGGCGTATATTCAATATTCTGCACCAACACCATAATTCAAAGGCATCACTTCTTCAGTCTTCCTTATTCATTATCCAGCTCTGGCATGCATAGGAGGCATTTGGACCAGACAGTACTAGGTATTGGATACTCCAAACTGAGTGACAATCATTTCCTGACCCCCAGGGATTCATAGTCTGGTGAGGGAAATACATGTGTAAACAGATCCAAACGATGTGATTAAGTCTGTAACAGAGGTAAGTCCAGGACACATGGCTCTATGAAGACCATAGAGGTGGTGCCTGTGTGGAGAAATAACGAGTTAGGAGCTCACTGAGTGGACAGGGAGAGGAGAAACACCAGGCGGCAGTGGGAGGGAGGGACAAGGGGACAGGATGCACAAACAGAGCTCATGGTGTGGTGTGTTCAAGAACCAGTAATACGGGGAAGTCGGCACAACTGGACTAAAGCAAAAGCGAAGGAGTTTCCTGAACACAACCAATCACTTTGAGGGACAGAGTAGCTGGGGCTGGGGTCTGGCGACCATAGTTTCAGGGGACATCTAGGTCAATTGGCATAACAAAGTTTATTAAGAAAATGTTCTGCATTCCACTTTGGTGAGTGGCGTCTGGGGTCTTTAAAACTTGTGAGCAGCCATCTAAGATGCATCAATTGGTCCCAACCACCTGGAGCAAAGGAAAATGAAGAACACCAAAGATACAAGGAAACTATTAGCCCAAGAGACAAAATGGCCACATAAACCAGAGACTCCATCAGCCTGAAACCAGAGGAAGTAGATGGTGCCTGGCTACCACCAATGACTGCCCTGACAGGGAACACAACAGAGAGTCCTGGATGGAGCAGGAGAAAAGTGTAGAGCAGAACTCAAATTCACGTAAAAAGACCAGACTTAATGGTCTGACTGAGCCTGGAGGAACCCCCGAAGCCATGGCCCCTGGACGCTCTGTTAACCCAGAACTAAAGCCATTCCCAAAGCCCACTCTTCAGACAAAGATTAGACTGGACTATAAAACATACAGTACCAGTGAAGAGTGTGCTTCTTAGTTCAAGTAGATACATGAGATTAAATGGGCAGCTCCTGTCCCAATGCAGGATGAAAAGGCAGGAAGGGACAGGAACTGGTTGAATGGACACGGGAAACTCAGGGTCAAAAGGAGTGTGCTGTCACATTATAGGGATTGCAACTAATGTCACACAACAATGTGTATAGATTTTTGTATGAGAAATTAACTTGAGCTGTAAACTTTCACCTAAAGCACAATAATAATAATAATAATAAAAGATCCCTGGTCTCTACCCCCATTCCCAGACATTGCCAGTATCCCCTGGAGAACTAAAAAAAAAAAACAAAGAACCAGTAGTAATTGGGCATGGGTGGCCCACAGGGTCTGTTTTGGAGCGACAAGGGATGAGGATGAGGCTGGCCAAGTAGGCAAAGGACAGACCCTGTGGAACCTCTGGACCATGATAAGGGGTTTGGACTTTGTCCTGAATGTAGTGGGAGCCATTTAAGGACTTTGAGCAGGAGAGTGACTGGATCAAATGAGTTTTAGAAAGATGACTCCTGAGGGAGAAGGGGAAGGAGAGCAGAATACACGCAAGGAAGCGGTGAGGAGGCTGTCGTAGGTAGCCAGGCTGAAGCAGTGACAGCTATAACCACTGCATGTGGCAGTGGAAAAGGGTGAGGGGATGGCTGTGGAGGAGATATAAAACCAAATCTGTTGCCGTTGAGTCGATTCCAATCCTATAGGACAGAGTACAACTGCCCCATAGGGTTTCCAAGGAGCAGCTGGTGGATTCAAACTTCTGACCTTTTGGTTAGCAGCCAAGCTCTTAACCACTGTGCCACCAGTGGAGGATATATAGAAGGTAGAATTTATAAGCCTGGAGTATGGGGTGGACCCATCTTAGATGGCTGGAGTGACCTGGCTTGGGTGACTGACAATGCAGTGCCGATTGTTGGGAATGAGGTGACTTTGGCTTTGGACATCCCAAGGTGGGCAATCCCCCTGGGCTGGTCCATCGAGGGCCAAGAGGAGTGTTTCCAAACCTAGATCTTCTTGCCGAGATCCACTCTCAGGCAGCAGGGTCTGGGTGCTGATCTCATTGTCTGTCTTGGGGAGGCAGGGATCTATACCTTTGGTAGACTCAATCTAAATCTATTTGTCTAGTTTTCTTTAATGACTGAACTGATGAGAGATGGACAGGTGTGTTCTTTGTTCCTGTTCTTGTCACTTCCAGGACTGCAGAGCTGTCCATTTCTTCTTTGGGGTTGGCAGTGCTCCTGGGCAGCGCACTGGAGGGTGTGGGGTTGTCACGCCGCCAGTGGAGCTCGGCCCTCTGTGGCTCATGTCTGTCTCACCCTCAGTTTAGCCACCAGGCTGTGACCATGGGGCATTACTGAAACACATCATATCCCTGGGGTCACTGAAGGAGCAGACTTGGCTTGTCTATTCACCAAATGTCCCCACAGGCCACAAGCAGCTGG